ACTTCATGCGTGATCTCCCAATGCCGGCAAATTATTGAAAAGCCAAAAAGAAGACGAAGCCCATGGGGATCGAACCCACAACCTGACTTGCTGTTAGATGCTGCTGAGATGAGAGGTGATTGGTGAAGTGTACCTTTGGTGTTTATGCTTTCTGACCGAAAACCAACGCGCTACCATTGCGCCAAGGCTCCGAATAGATTTCGATAGAGAACTTTCCAAACGCAACGTTTATATTCTCAGTTAGTTGCGCGCAGCAGCAGCTTCGAAGCCGATCTCTTTGAAGCAGAGCGCCCTAACAAGGACAAGCCGAGCAGTTGTTCCATTGAATATGTGCTTCCTTCGCATGAGGGGCAGTGTGCGTCGTGCTAATGCTTTGACACATCACTATGCCCCACATCGAACCACATTCTTCGTGTCGCTCCGCAGATTCATGCACACCACTGGAAAACGAGGTATAGATGGTCCATTCAGATAGCAGAGTTGCTAGACAAGACATTTATTGCTTACACGAAGGTCTTACACAAACGCTTCCACATGCGCGGAGTTTTCCAGACGCCAAACTTATGCAATCGCTAATCAACACAACATGTACGCCAGACTGACAATAGTGTGTAGAATCTTAATTCCGTGGCTTCCTCCACAACTGCTCCGGGTCCAGTTGCCGTGTTGGAGACACTCCACTACTCGGCTGCGAGTACTCAATACCACATGCCCCGCGATCCAAAGCAAGCGTGTTCAAGTTCCAATGGAGCTGCTCATCAGGATCTGTCGCCAAGCTCGTTCGGGTACGTCCCTGAGGCTGGTATTGTGCTTGCTCGGCGTTTGAGTTATTTGACGCCATCAAAGAAAGAGATAATGTGTCAAGCTCGGTCGCAAAGTCCATCTCCTCTTTGCTAGCTTCCAGGGCAGAGCAAATGTTGCTCGGTCGTGTTTTTGCTTTAATTTCCAACTCGTATACTCGCTGGTCGCGCGAGAACTCTGCTTCGAGCTGTCGGTGCTCGGCATACCACTGCTCGTACTGCTCTTTACTCATTTGTCCCATAGGAGGGTAGGTCGCGTTGTGCGCCGCTTGCCGTTGTTCCCAAATCTTCGCTGCTTCGACTTGAATGCATTCGTTACATACAAAGGCAGCGTCAACCGTGTCGCCATACGGATCGATGCAGTTTTCGCCACAATCTTCGACAAGATCCGTCCGGATGCGGTGAGAGCAGAGTAGCTGGTGATAGAGACGACCTTGGCACGGCGCAAAACGCTTGGTCCGGATGTTGTTGAACGTAGAGGCGGGTATTTGTTGCGAGGTAGATGAAGAGGCGAAGGGGTTGTTTGCTCCTTCGTCCGGGGTGCTCGTCCAGCCCCATCGACATGCCATTACGAGATTTGCATGAGACATGGTGTCGTCGGAGACTTTAGAGTTTGGCATGGCCCTAAAGGCACTGTTCGAAAAATCCATAATGAGGTTGATCTCCAAGTTGGACTTTTGAAGTTTGCAGAAGATATGCGGGTGGCGTCAGCTGACAACGCGTGGTTGCCTTGAATGATGGTATTGATTGGTCCTTCGAAAGTTACACAGTATCGAAGTGATTGGTGTTGTGCGATTCCCGACGCGAAAGTGATCAAGGTCTGCGTTGAATAATCGGCGCTGTTCCTGTGGTCGCGTGGAGGTGCATCGTGTGTGCACAGAGCGCTAACAGAGTGTGACGCTAGCTATCGCGAGGCGTTCACTCTATGGTCCCCGGCAGTGAAAGGTGTATTGGCAACTCTGGTGAAGCGGGCCGATAGTGATGTGTCGTACGAATGTGCTGCTGAATCCTCGACGGATGATGTGCTGCTGGGATGCGCTGCGATAAAACGTGGTGAGTCGTCGCGCGACGCGCTGCCTGGGTGGCCAAAGCTCGCGATAGACGCTAAGCCTTGTTCGGGCCGATGACGAAATGGAACCTTCCAGTATCTCGCCAACTCAGCATCCAGCCACTCACCAGCCTTCACACATGTATCACGAGTAGTTCTGGTTGAGACACCGAGGAAAAGCAATTTGAAGAGGGGAACTATTGTCTCAGCACCTCTACGCGTCGTCATCCAGTGAGGCGACAGGAGAAGGGGGTGGCAAAGAAGTAAAACAGGTGGATCAATCGAAGCACAATCCTGCTAATCGTCTCTATATCCAACTCAATACCCTACAATCTCCAGTTTCCAAGTCTCTAGATCAAGAATCTGAAACCTCTCTCGGCACCAACCCCAGGGACAGCGTTGATTGCGCCTTCAACGTGTTCTCCACGAGCAAGTTTCTTGTTCAGCCGCCCCAGTATAATGCGCATAATGACCGCCATGATAATGGCCAGTGCTGCAGTTGCGCAATCCACACTCAGGGGAACCGTCAAATCCGCCGGACCACTCTTTGGCTGAGGATACATGTAGCTTGCATAAATCGAACTCGTATTACTGATCGCGTTGATGAAAGCCAGTGCAGCCGCCCTCTTCGCTGGCGGACGAGGCAAAGAGTTGGAGATCCAGGCCAGAGCTACGACATATCCAGTGTATACACCAGGTACCATTAGCATCATGGCAACGTAGCGAGGTGCTGTTGCAGTCGTAGCGGCGGCAAGGATGAAGGCTGCTACGCCGACGCAGAGAGGGAGGACGATGTGGAGGAATCGTTCGCCGGTGCGGTCGGCATGCCAGGCGTTGAGGTAGGTGGTGATGACTGCGAGAACATAAGGTGGCGCTGTTAACAGAAGTGTCTCGATGTTCGGGTATCCTAGCGTCTTGACCACTGTTGGGAAGAAGTTGGTAACACTGGCCGAGGATACGTTCGCTAGAAGCATGATTGTAAGCACCCAAGTCTTGATATCGAGTAACGCAAGCTTTAGGCCGTGGAAGAAGGTTTGCGACTCTGCCGAGACCCAGTCGTCTTCGCCAACGTCTTCCTGGAGCCTGTAGACGGCGAGTTGGCGTTCTTCCTCTGTGAGCCAGGAAGTTGTTCGAGGGAAGTTGGGTAGGATCCAGAAGGCGCCAAAGGCAATTGCGACGGTAATGATACCCTGAAGAATCAGCTAACATTCCAGACTCCCGGCTTCGCGCGTGCGATACTTACCTCGATTATGAACACCCAACGCCACGCTCTCAAGCCCTGCGTGCCATCCATATTACTTGTGATCCCCGCGGTGATGAGCCCACCGAAGGCTCCCGAGATCAAACTTCCAGAGTAAAGAACCGCCGTTCTCAAACCCAGCTCTTTCCTCGTATACCAAGCGCTGAGGTAGAACAGACATCCTGGGAAGTATGCGGCTTCGATGAATCCCAGGAAGAAACGGCACACCACCAGTCCTGCGAAGTTCTGGCATGCCGCGGTAGCGCCCGATATGATACCCCAAATGATCATGCACGTTGGGAGGTATATGGCTGGTTTTCCTGTCTTGTTGAGGAACAAATTTGACGGGATCTGCATGAGGATATAGCCGACGAACAGGATGGAGACGGTGGTCTATTCAAGTTAGTGAGAGACTTGCTGTTGATTTCAGCAATGACATACTTGATACTGCACACTCGTGAGTTCCAGCTCGTCTTGAAGACCTGCTAGGCGAACGGCAGCGATATTGTTCCTATCGAGGTAATCTGAGCATTATTAGCGCTGCCCACCCGCGGCCATCTATCAAGACATACTCATGATATACATCAGGATAATCATCGGCAACAATCTCGTATCGATCTTCCGTCGCATCCTCTTCTCTGCTTCAATCCTTTCCTCGGCACTCATAGCAGCCACCAACGGCGGTGGGACCAGCTTGCGATGCCCATCGACGACCCCATTTCCTGCTTCCAGAGTACTAGGCGCGATCTTGTCATCCGAGATATGCTCGATCGAAGGTTTTCGGTCGTCGGCCATTGTCGTGCGCGTCGAGCGAACTATGCGATTATCGATTCGACGTAGGCAATGCGATGGCGTCAAGCTGGAATGTGGTCAAGGTGAGGGCGCAGCGACAAGAGACGACAAGCAACACTGCGGGGCCCCAAGCTTCCACTTATATGAAGCTTGCCCGTACTCCCAAGCATTTACCGGGATAGCTCGCGCCATGTACGTCGTCCAACGTCCGTCATGCGACGAAGACACACCAAAGCACACCCTTACCACCTAGCCGAGGGACGGTTGCCGACAACCGTGCAGGAATGTCGGCCCGCTGTAGAGATCAACACCTCACGGCGACCTGACAGCACATATGATTCGTCAATTGGGCTATCATTTAGTCGTAGTAATATGCTGATGCAACGGGTGTGCATGTGACGCGGGCTGCGCGTGGTTTAGTGGGTTCGTGTTGGAGGATAAATCGACATGCGGGGTGAAGATCGACCGAAGCGTCATCGTTGGCGCAATGAATCCGGGGTAGCTGAACGGCTCATTGCACGGCAACTGCAAGCGACACACCCTTTTTTCTTCCATCACCATTCTCATCGCCGACTTCGCGGCCTCCATGACTTTTCGCTTCTCTTGGCACCTTGAGTACGTAGTATAGCTCGGTGTGGCTAAGGTCAGCGCTGCTTCCACTGCTCATGGCGCGAGCACCCCGAACGGTCACCCTGGCAGCTACAAGGGGCGACAAGCTCTATCCACGACTGCAAAAGCTCTTATGCAGTCACCACGGGGGGGTTTGGTTTGAGATGGTTCAATTGAGCTACACAGGGCGAGCCATAGAGCAGAAAATGAGACACGCTTGTCGAATGACACATGTCATGAATCGCATTACACTCGTCTATGTGTCGCTCTATGCGAACAAGACCTATTCGTAGTCACACCGCAAAGCGCGAGGTAAAGGCAGGTAGAATGCTCGCTGCCTACGCCGGGCTCCGCATCTGCGCAAACGGCCAGAGACAAGATATCATTTTGACCAAGTAATCTTGACTTCTCAACTCTACTACCCAACAGCGAATCAAATCCACATCAGAAGCAACTACCTCCAAACTCAGCCGCTCCCGACGCCGAGTATCCCAACACCAGCTACAATATCATGCCCGCAGTACCCCAAGACCACTATGTCTGGACTGTAAGGATGTATCTTACACTTCACCGCTTACCGCATACTAAACTTGATAGGTCGTGGTCCGAGGAAGAGATCGCTCTCTGACTATCCCAAGGCCGGCGCATATTACAGATCTGATCTCAAACGGTCCCGCGAGCAGCGCGAAAGCGGCTGAGCTCAGGGCTCTGGTCAAGGCAACCGCTGGATGCACCATCGTCTACGACTTCTCTCCACCGATAGGCCATGGCTTCGTGTACGATGAGAACTCGCTTTTCTCGAAGTGTTGGACTAACTGTATTATAGCTACCACATGGCCAATACTGTTGAGACAAACCCACTTCAAGAGTATGTCGACTTGGACGCGCTCGCTTGGGTACAGCTGAAGCGCCATCGCAGGTCTGGAGAGTCCTTGAGAGCGGAGGTCGTAGATGTCTCCGAGTCGCAGGTGGATGAGGGCGCCGAGTTTCCTTTCACATCTGCGGACGAGAACTCCAGTGACGATGAGTAAGATCGTACAGGAGAATCAAAGCATGTGGCTGCCTGGGTGGACATTTTGGAGTAAGTTGGAGTATGTCTCGCGGCCAGCGGTTCGCTGTGGCGCAACCTTAGAAGTCTGGCTTTCCAGGCCCCATGAATTTGAGTCAGTTTCTTATTGGGCTACCAGAATCTACTTGAGCGAATAACAGTGGCCAGGTATCTAGAACGTACGGGCTGTGGCTTAGTGCGAACGTCTACCACGGTTTTATACGAGGCGCAGCCGCGCACCTCCTCGTTAAAATCACTCGCATTCTCATTCCATCACCCTTTTCTTCATACCGCTCTCAGACTTTCACACAGATTTTTCGTCTATCACCCATTCTACCAAGCAGATAAATCCACAGCACATACAGCCATGGACAACGAAAAGGACACCCTCCCGGCCTATACTAGATTCTCAACCCCGAAGCTATCATGGCGTGTTCCAGCTACCAGCATGCGAACACCACAACAACAATTCGAACTGGACCTCGAGGCCCTGAAGAACGACGGAGAACTCGCCAGGATCGGGGCAGAATCCGACGAAGACACGAGGAAAATGAAGATAGACCTCTTCTTCCTGACCATCAAGCTCCTCATCTTCACTGTCGCGGCAGTATATATCCTGGGGTTTCTCTCCGACGTACTCGCTGCCGGCGCGCCGCAAGTCAAGGCGGTGGTCAAGGCTGCACCAGCTGCAAAGGTATGTTTTGGTTTGCAAAGGTTCCTTTTGTATGATATACTGATACCGTCGTAGTATTGTCTCCCGCAAGGAGGGAGCTGTTCTACGCAAAAAGAAGTAGCGAAAAAAGTAGCATCTCTCGTCGGGCATTATTTCTCTGAACACAAGGAGGAGGTTGAGGAGGCTTTGTTTGGAGCCTGGGATGGCGAACTCTAGTGCACACGGCCACGCGCCAACCAAGACCGCGTCATGAGAGGACGTTAGGGGCACGAGATACCATTCACGTATCTTCTAGGCTATTCTACCCAGGCTGTACGTGTCTGCCAAGGAATTCTCCCTCTCTATTTAACAATGTGAATAGTAACACTACATACTTCGCAAATAGCTGTAGTAGATAAGGTTCTCTTAGATCTACTATACGTGTTAACTAATACTACTAGCGTTCTTAAACTTACTATATATTTAACTTAAATTTTTAATACTTTTTAAAGTACTAGGTATAGTAGAGAAAGTAGAGATACTAAAAGTTAGTACTAGTACTTTATAAAACGCTATTATAGCGCTCTAAAAAGTAGCTTAAAATATAAAAATTTAAAATACTAATATAGTTATATAAGTTATATAAGTAATAAAAACGCTAAAGTATGTATTTTATATTTTTTTATAGTTAACTTACTTTAGTATATATAATTCTAAAGTTTAGTTTTTTTATTTTATTTATAGTACTATAATAATATAAAGTAAAATAAGCTACTTATAATTTCTAAATTATATAACTACTATATACGTAAAGGTACTTTTTATTAAATAAGAGAGATTGTAATTCTTAGAGTCTATTTAACGATGTAATAGGTGCGCAACGTACACGTTAAAGTACACGTTATACTAGAAGCTGTGTACTTATCAACTTTGCATGGTATGTATGCGGCAAGGTGCAACTTTGATTGGAGGCACCACTGGCGTAGCAATATCAAAGACGTAGCAGACATCGATTTTCGGTTTCTAATACCGGCCTTCTTTACGCCGATATGTTATTTGGTCGTCTGTATCGCTCCAACCGTCCGCTCTCACACCCCAGCAACCCGCCAATCTCAGTTCCCAATTGCATTCCAATGATGCGTCCCTCGACCACGCCCAGCATTATCGGTCTTCGTCCAAGTGGTTCGTGCGGGTGGTTCGTAGAGGTGCGGGGCCAGTAGCGAGGTTTCGTGGGTGATTACTGTGACCTTTGTAATGTGACGCAAATTGACTGAATGCGAATGTGATATCTCTGCGGTGGAGATCCCGTGGGACGTCCTCGGATATTCTGGTGGTGATAGTACGACGACTGGCGGTGGGTTGACGAGGGCTGTCTGCCTTGCCGAGATCGAGAAGAATCGATGTAGATGTTAGCATATCTACAAGAAGGCATATAATGAAGCGGAGCTCACAGATTCTACGGATTGAACGGTATTGTTTGCCCGGTGACCATCGGCGGACCATTCCGAAAGTGTATTCAGAAGTGGCGGCCCCCCTTGATATGTGATTGTAGTGAGTGCTGTGAGCTTGATAGCAACAGCTAGCGAGAATGTGTCACCCAGAGAAGTTCGGGTCCAGGGGGCTTGTATTATGGATTTTAAACATAGAAAAACACCTAATGATGACAAGTAAATAACAAGCATTACCTAATTATGGGAAACTTTTTTCTTATCGCACTGCTATGTTCACAACCGTCAGAAACATCGATGTCCAAATATCCTTCCTCCAGAATCCAGTTGATGTACGCGAAAACTTGTCCCTCCGCTGGTATCGTATCAGGCCGATCCATCTCGTCGTAGTGTGACAGCGCGGAGTCAAACGTAGCGCTGAAAACTTCGGGATCATGTAAATCTTCCAGGACTTTAGCCCGCGGTACTGCCAGGCCATTCGCGCAGCATTGCATATGGGCCCAGCCGTATTGGAAGTGTTCATCTTCATGATCTGTGGGATTATAGAGCCTTTTGCGCCATGTCGTCTTCTTCTTTGGAGGTCTGTGAAGCCCACTCGAAAACAAATGTCTGTGCCGAAGAGAACAGCAAGTATGCTCACCACCCAAGAAATCGAAAAGAACTAGTCTTGTGAGAAGGTATATGTACTGGTCTAGTTGAGGCTTCGGTGGGTTTGAAACTTCGATATAACTCCGAATGCGGTCTTTCCATGAGGGATTATACCATTCGTCTCCATCTTCGAGCAAGAACTTAACAGGTGTACACCCTTTCGGTGAGCATGCGCATGTGCAGTCGTCGTATGGCACACCAAATGCCTCCTGTGCCATTTCGAAACAGTGTGCCTTCATGGCTGATGTGTCCTCGCTCCAGGTGTAGGGTGGCCTTGTAACGCTCATACGCTTCGCGTGAAGATGGAGGGCTGTTAAAGGACTCGTCTCATGTTTTGAGTCTAACCGTGCACCTCTTTGTATCAACCAATTTATCATCCCATAGTTATGGCTGAACCAGCTTTGCAGGAACGGAGTCCACCCATTCTCGTTGGGTTTGTCGATATCGTGAAAACCTAGAGACCACAGTGCATCTGCTGTATCTGAAGTCATTTGGACCTCTTCACCAGTGGTTGTAAAAGAGTTATAGAGTCCCTTTCCATCGAGCTCAAGAGCCGGAGGAACATGAATCCCATGTGACAGAAGCCTTTCGGTGATGGATGGCGCAAGCTGTTCCTGTAACTCAAGCTGCACCAACCCGAGCCTAGAGAAGATAGAGGTTGGTAGACATGACTCAGCTAGATCCCTGATACGCGTATGACGATCACAAAACGCCTGGATGAGTTCAAGTGAAATCTGTGATCTTTTGTGATCGTCACTCAACTTCAAAGCGTATTGCAGCAGGCTGTAGTCTTGTGCTGGGGTAAAGATTCCGCAGTCCGCGTCGAGCAGATATTGGACAGAATCGAAGATTCCTAGAGCCACGGCAAGATGTACAGGTCGCCGGCCATGATTGTCTTCAATGTTGATATCCACACCTCTTTCCATTAACATCTTCAGTCCGGTTGGCCATAAGACAGCGAAATGAATCGGAGCAAGCCCGTTGATCGGTGATTTACGATTCAAAATCGATAGCTTAGTCCTTTTGATTATATGGTGGAAATGCTTCTCTTGTCGCTGCAAGATGATTGGCACAAGATCCCCGAGATCCATGACTAAAATAAGACGTCAGGAGCATTTTGCAACGAATGAACCAAGACACTTACTATCGATTTGATCCTCAAAGATGTTCAGCTGTGTGACATCGTCACGAAAACTGATGCATCGATAACCTGGACGACTATCACCGAAAAAGGGTTTCGAAGTATGTCCTTCGGCCTTTACGAACAATTCTAGTATGGTCCGAAGTCCTGGAATTATGGTAGATTCGACACCCAGGTAGAACAACATTGGGTCCATGAGCTGATCACATGTGGTGCCCCCATGATGCGTCAAAGCCTCGAATGTCTGGTCGGGTTCAAGGTCTCTAATCACGTTGGGATCGGCCCCCCTGTCTACCAAACCTTGAAAGAGAGCTGCGTATTCCGCGACGCAAGCTGAGTCAAGATCTGCGACGAAAAGATGAACTGTCTCCTACCGAATGCTCATTAGAATACAGCTCTGCCATACAGCTGCATATGCTTACATTCAAGACGGTACGACCGTCGCTGTCCACATCCAGAGCCGAGGCTTCAGCGTTGTCGAACATCCGTTGGAGAGTGATGTGGAGTTGGGTCAAAATTTGACGCTTGCCAACGTACCGCCCAGCCCCTTGAAGCTCACGGACCTCCTTCAGACTGTTCGCAATCGCACGAAACGCTGGCGACGTCCTCGAATCCACAAGTCGGCTCGTACCAACTACGATTGGGCTAATCGAGAAGCTGTTTATAGTTGACCAGTTCCTCACTTTGGCACCGAAGTCGATGGTATGATATAGAAGCCATGACGGAGGAACAATCTGCATGGTTATCTCGAGACTTTGCTCCGAACTTCGGTGATCCGGACAGTATGAGAAGTGTTGGGTTCGAAAAGTCCGGGTGAATCGAAGTATTGACAATGGCTGCCAGCGACGCGCAGTACCGACAGTACGACATTTGCATCTTTGAGGTCTACGACCAAGGTTTACTATGCTTCGATGGACGGGTTGGTATACCGAGGATCCGACATGGATGTGGTCCGTAGCGTAGCCAGAGTTCACATGTGGGCTGTGTTTGTCAGGGCCCATAGTCAATTTTTCGATGGCCGCGATGATCTGCTCTGTATTTGCCAAAGTCATTTCTGTGATCTGTCGACTTGATTGCCGTGATGTCATGTCCGCTTCATAGTCTACCAGGAGCCGTTGGGTATCTTGTAAGATGTGTTCCGTTCTGGTGGAAGTGGTCGCGAGGGTACGATGGACTTGTTCGATGTGAGGAAGTAGCTGTCCTGTGTTTGTCGCGATGTTGTTCGACGTATTATTGACCGTCTTGACGAGCGTCAGGGTATCGCTAACATCAAGCCGCGTCTGGTCTGCAGTCGCCGCGATACTTGATGCGAGCTTGCTGTACGCTAGTCAATACAGTGGTCTTCTCCAGGCCGGGTGGCCAGCTTCAGTCTCCTTGGAAATCCACTTACAGATTCGCTGCCTCCAGCCATAAGTTAAGAGTGCTCTTCTTCTGTTCGAGTCGATCACATATGCTTGCCACTTCTTCCTTCTTACGGACCGAGCAAATAGCATCCCAGCCTCGTCGCAACACACCGTCATTCTGACGGCCGAGCAGAACTTCCAGCGTCTTACACAATTCCTCAGTGAGATCAATGTACTCAGCTAGAGGCGTGTCAAACGTCGAGGACGCTACTGCCGTCGCGAAACCAGGCAAGCGGTGATTCTGGACCTGTTGGGCGATCTCGATTTGCTGACGTAGGTCGGTCTGCAGCTGAACAAAACGCCGCGGCACATTGCGCACATCTGAGCAGAAGCGTTCGAGACAGGACGATAGGCGTAGAGCTACGTCCACGAACTGGACGACAGCGGCGACGGCGCCGACCACCTCCGCCATTTGAGGTGTTGTGATAAGAAAGATGGATAGCAGCAGCGGGGAATGGGTTCATATGCATAAGCACAGCTGACCTAGCTCATTCTGAGCGAA